TGTCAAGAATTAAGTTGCCGCGCGGTACTATGACCCGCTCGATGCCCCGAACCACAAGCGAGTGAGTAGGGCAGTAGGTAAAGACCTCAGAGTGTAGGCTGAAGGAGGGAATATGTATGTATGACCATTTATAGTAAATTCTCTAAATCCACACAGGTTCTCGACAGCATGCTGGTACCATCATCGCTGGAGACCAAGGTGAGTACGATTTGATTGATTTCTCTTTTTACTATAGCGTACATACATATTTAATATTTACATAAGTATATAAATATATTCAATTGTCCGGTATATATGCATATAGGTAGGCAGATACATTCCTCTCAGGTTTTTTTTTGTGAATTATTAAAATCTAAGGCGGAGTTTAGAATTTATTGAAAATATCGAATTTAGAATTATTGAAAATATTGAGTTCGGAATTGTTGAAAATATTGGCTGAATTTCTTTATTCATTCTGAACGTTTGGAATAAACTTTTTTGTTTATTTATTCTTTAGAACGTTCCTGATGATATGTTAACGTATATTTCAAACGTATTCTGTTTATTCCGGCTGTGAAATGGGATTATCCGGAATGTATAAAGAAACGCAGCCATTGAGTTTAAAACTATTAAAAAGAAACGATAGAAACCATGATAAAAATATAGTAAGGTAGAACCGCTGAGAGTTACTTTTAAAATTCTTGACGTTTCCAAACATTTTAATTTTTAAATTTACTCACAAACTCACACACACATTTTCATTTTCAATCTCAAGCAACAACAATTTCGAACAATTTCAATTTTTTATTTTCAATTTTATATGATTTTAAAATGCTGGCAAACTTCAAAAAAGAATCATGGCCGACAAAATGAGAGAACGGTTCTACCTTGCTATGTTTTTATCATGATAGAAACGAAGAAATATGGAGTGAAATTTTTGTTTATTCTGGATAGGAATTCCGCTTTATTATGGAGTGCTAAGCACAAGCTGTTGGTGTGGGTGTTGCACTTGTGCAACAGAGGGGAAGAGGGAGTGTGCAGACGGAACGACAACTGACTTAGAAATGACAGACTGTTAGATAGACGGACTAATGTCAGGCTTAGGGGGCGTTGTAAGAAGGTGAGGAGTCACGACAACGCCTAAGGCTTCGCGTGGAGTTCACGTAGAAGGAGGGTGGGATGACTCCACCTGACAGGACAGGACAGGACCATCTCTCCGTAGTGCCTTCTTTTTCTCATATTCTTATTTCTCTTTGTTATTTGTGACCATCCACACTAGTATTTCTCAATATCACCAGGCACGATTAACTTTTTGTTTGTGTAGCGACTACCAAGGCAGGCGGAAATGACAACCTCCCCAACCGACGAGCTAGCTTGGGATGCAAGCGTGCCTGCATGCCGCCCGCCGGGTACAAACATGCAGCTACATAACAATGTAGATGAAGTCATCATCGCCACGCCAACAGTAACGGAGGGTGTCCAGGAGTTGGAGGAGTTTCTGAGCGCGGTCCGGCAGGCAAGGCTGACTTTGCGTTCATCGAAGTGTGTATTCATGGAACTACCGTTAACTTTTTGGGACATATAATTAACGAAGAGGGTATCAAACCAAGCAGCGGAAAGGTTAATAGCGCTAAGGAGTTCGCAACACCGAAGTCTGTGAGACACGTTTGCCAGTTCTTAGGACTGACCGGGTTTTTCGGGAAACTTATCAACAATTACAGCAGTATTGCGATGCCTCTAACACAGTTGCTGAAGAAAGAGCAAGATTTCCAGTGGGATGGGTTCCGAGTATATCTGTTAGGGAAACAGTTTACAGTATGTACGGATTGTAACGCCGTGGTTACAACTAAAGCCTCAACACTACTACAGCCTCGCATAGCCAGATGGTGGTTGCGACCCCAGGAGTTCGATTTTGTTTGCAAACATCGAGCGGGTACGAGAGTGGCCCACGAGGACTCGCTGAGCAGAGGTCCGGTAGAAGAGGCAACCGAGCCGCATACAGTAGCAGAGAAGGTAATGCATATTAGGAACGTAACAGAGAGTTCGGATTGGATTTATATCATGCAAATGCAAGACCCGTAACTGGAGTCGCTAATCCAAATCCTAAAGGGTGACCACCAAGACGAAGATTCGGTATAGAAGCAACTGAAGGCCGACTACGCAGTGGAGAAGGGTAGACTAACGCGTAAAGCAGATGGGCAGTCCAAGTTAGTCGTTCCGCATGTAGCACGATGGCGGATAGTGAAAGCGTGTCATGACGACGCCGGTAATTTCGCGCTAGAGAAGACTATTCAGAAGATTAGAAAAGCGTTTTGGTTTCCACGGATCCGCCGGTAAGTTAAATCATACATTGCAGGATGTGAGGAATGCTGCCTGAATAAAGCCAGAGATGGAAAATCTGAAAGCCAGCTTCACGTCATGGAAGTCTTAGCGATTCCATTCAGAAGCTTGTACATCGATCATCTGGGCCCATTTCCCAAGAGTAAGAGACGAAATTGTTATGTGCTAGTCGTCGTATGTGGTTTCACGAAGTACTCCATACCAAGACTGAACCAGTGGTCAAAGCTTTGGAGGAGGTCATGTCCGTCTTTGGTCAACCACTCCGAATAACATCAGACAGAGGGACCGCCTTCACGTCTCAGCAGTTCCAGGCGTTCATTAACCGTTGTGGAATACAACATGTTAAGACAGCGGTGCGTACACCAAGGGCCAACAACGGCCAAGCGGAACGAGTCAACAAAACTCCTAAATTGTTTGCGATACACAGTGAAGGACGCCAAGGACTGGGATGCCGCGTTACCCATGATACAGTGGAACCTTAATTCGCTGCGACATCAGGTGACCAAGTTCAGTCCAAACGAACTGGTCTTCAGCTTTGATCCCAGAGATGTAACCCAGAATCGGATGATCCAGGCGCTCCATGATGAAGTGAACGTCAATGCAGATTCCGAGAGTAATTGGGAAGAAGCCGCTAAAAATATTTTGACAGAGAAACAGAAGTGAAAGCAAAGATACGACAATAAACATCGGAAGCCACTCAACTATCAGGTGGGAAATTTGTTCGTCATCGATCATGTGCCAGCAGCAACCGGTGACTCCAGCAAACTAGATCCAGCTTTCAATGGTCCGTATGTGGTCACAAAGGTGCTGGACTACGACCGTTATATAGTAGAGGATTCGCCAGATGCCACCGTTTCCAGGCGGCGTTATAATGGTGTTATGAGCAGCGATCACATGAAACCATGGTGCACGTTAGCGCCAGGGTTAGATGTCGAGGACGGCATCGATGCAGATGGTGACGAATCGCCCTGGAACGATGTCAGGACCTGCGAGAGGGAGTAACGTGTGAACTGCCGCCGAGTGAGGGCTCATAGTTTTCATCAGTCATATTAACACTTAAACTACATTGGTCTAATTTCATGGTAAATGTAACATCAACTTTAATTTGATTATTTTAAATAATACACAAGTCATCCGTGACACATAATTTAATTTAAAATCTGTCAATCAAAGAAACAATATGAGATTGCTCCTGTTCTTTCCAATCGGCATCACCATCATCACCCAGATTTCCAGCGTATTCTGTAATTAAAGTTGAAATTTCGTATATATAATATGCATATGATTCATGCATTCATACATATGTATACAGAAAATCCGTACAAACCTCGCATCACGTTCCTAATGGTTTTCATCGAAGCACCACGTAAATTTAAAATCTGCACGACACGTTGCTTTACGGTATCCGCAGTGGCTGATACTTCTAAAATTATATAGTCGATTCGCTGAAGAGTAAAAAGGCCGCCAGTTAGTCGCTTGATGTAATTATTTTCCGCTTCCTCGTCTTCATCGATTTCAGTATTCTAAACGAAAGTTAAATCATAACAAATAAATACAACAAAACATATACATATACTCATAAAATAAAACATGAACTTTAAAATATTCCAATGGAATATAAAAGGATTTCTTAACATCAATGAAATGAACCTCTTAATAGAAGAAAAAATCTACCCTTCATTTCACTGCAAGAAACACATTGCAAACACAACTTTAACCCATTTTCTCCAAGCGGATACTTAAGTTATTTTCAAAACTCAACAATAACAACAGCCAAACAAGGAATAGGGTAAGCACCCTTTAAGTTAAAGCTAATATTTCCCACAAAATAATTTCATTAAACACCTACCTTCAAATAATAGCGATTGAAGTCAACCTTAATATAAAATTTACGATAACACCGTGTGACAAAAACTAAAAAAAAATTCAAAACACATGAAAGAATCGATATACTCACGAAACTATGGCTCAAATATAGTAAAACTGCGTTTTTAATTTTTCACTCTGACGTCAGGATTTTTATTCAAAGGACTTTTAAATTTTAAAGATATTCAGCCCAATTCTGCATACTCCCGGGGAGTTTGTTCTCCTGGAGCTACTCCCAGGGAGTAGCATTTTCCCCGAAAATTTGGGAGGAGGAAATTCGAACTTCGAAAAAGCTGTATGACACATTTTTGACAGCTCAACTCCGCTATTTAATCAGCCCTATTCTGCATTTCGACTCGAATCGAAACTTTCTCCTTTTGGCAACTTTGGTATTCTACGTTCCGTTTTGTTTCGATCAATCTTCGAAATTTACGATTACACCTATTCTATGTACATTTCGATCGTAGTTCCGTTTTTCTACGTTGCAAATTTGTTGACGGAGAACGCTTCGATTGTTATTTTCGCGAGCTTAAATAGTAAAATTTTATAAAAAAAATAAGTTAAATATACTTTGCATGATTGTAAAAGTCATCATAAATGAATTTTCTCGATATCTGTGTTTTGCGAGCAGCAATACGGGCAATACGAAAACTTTGCTCAAATAATGGCAACCGAGTTTTTGTTTTCATTATCTCTAAATAAGACTGTGAAATGGTCGTTACCGGTGGGTTTCTTCAAAATTCCAAATGGTGGTTCCAAGTCTCAAACAAGTTCAATAATTTTTTTATCGCCATATTGGATTCGCCATTCTAAGTTTTGACAATCTGACATCAGATTCGTAATCAGCAACCCCAGAAAGTCACCGGTAACGAGTTTCAGCCCTTGACAATGCTTAAAACGTAAAGTATCAACGTTTTAATTTTATTAATTTTTTAAGAATTTGATCGCTATATTGGATCCGCCATTTAGAATTTGGGAAACCTGACATCTGATTCGTAATCAGTGCAGAGTTTCGATTAAATCCAATTTTTTTTTAACTGATCGCCCTTTTACATCCGCCATTTTGAATTTTGAAAAACGGACTAGATTCCTGATTAGCAACCCCTGAAACCCCCTGGTAACAAGTTCCAACCCATGATAATGCCTAAGTCGTTCAGTATCAACTTTTTAATTTTAATAGTATTTTCGAAAGTATATTTATTGGGCCCATTCTACCTGTCCAAGACAGGTATGTAATTAAGGGAATGTTCCCCAATAATACCAGAGTAATACCATGTAAAAACCACATTTTTAGCTGCATTTTAACATGTCACGAAAATGAAAAAATTAAGAACATCGGCGTTTTTATAAAAAACCTACCAGAACGACCTCTAAAAAAACTGTTTTGTCAAAATAAAACAAAAACGTATCTCTTTTTTACCACAAATAACAATAACTTGAGGTAGGGTTTATGAATTCCATAAAAAAAAATTTTATATACATACATACATAAAATTTGGAGTTACATAAAAACGTTTTTTATTATTCTACTCGTTTTTACTAACTTTTTAAAAAGAGGCGCGTATGTTATGGAAGGATAAGCTTTGTTCTTCCCTCCTCCTGATGGCTTTCAAAATCGGTTTCATTTGCGTTCAAATCTTCGACTCTAGTAAATGCAAAGTTGTGGAGTACTCAAATAACGTTTATAATTTCACTGGCATTGAGCGGTGAGTAATGCAGTTCAACATGAATTTCTTATGATTGTTCACTCATATGAAAAGGATCAATCATGTCCCTAAATGTCCGCCCTTCAACTTTCGCATCAGCAATCTAGGACTCGTTCTGCTCTTCAAGTCATGGCTATGGATTTCATTCTTATAATATACACCCCTATTGGAAGTATCGACTAGTACTAGAAAATACCATGTTCTGGCCGACATCGAAAACATGTTTTCGTTGCTAAAACTGGTTTTCAGCCTAAAACGTGTGTGTTTCGTCCATGTTAAATCTGTCAAACGAAAACCAGTTTTCGCTGAAAACTACTTGAAAACTCACGTGCCACTCATTCCAATCAGGGCTACACTAGTTTTTTTCTATTATACATCGAAGTGGAAGTAATATTTTATTATCTTTAATACGCCATTTCGGATTTATTGTTAATTGACTGGCCAAAGTAAAATAAGAATGAAAGTAAGAGGTGGCTAATGAAAACAAAATGAGGGAAAAGCACTTTGGTTTTGTTTTTGTGTAGCAAAAGTGTAATCAGAGGATGTAAGAAATGTCAATGAAAACACTAACAGCCGGTGTGAACAGCCTTCAGCCCACAATCCCAAAACGACGATGGTATGTCGATTATAGACTATCCGTGGTGTTTTCAAAGTCAATTTCTCGTACAATAAGTGAGTGAGAATAGTTTATAGTCGCTCAACCTTCTGCACACACGCTTATTGAACGAGAAATCGACATTCACAATACCATAGAAAAGCGATAATCGAATAAGAGTCGTTTATCTACTACTAGTCGACCCTCGCAATAGGGGTGTATTATAGTGGTTCATAAAAACACTCTTTTTGGAAATTCATAAACGCTACATCAGAATATTGTTATTTGTGATAAAAAAGAGACCCGTATTTTTTTATTTTGAAAAACAGAAAAAGTTTTCTTAGAGGTCGCGCTGGTCGGTTTTTTATAAAAACGCTGATGTTCTCAATTTTTATATTTTCTTGACATGTTAACATGCAGCTAAAAATGAATTTCGAAAAACTGACTTCAATTCGTAATTAGCAACCCCAGAAACCCCCTGGCAACAAGTTCCAACCCATGACAATGCGTAAATCGTTCAGTATCAACGTTTTAATTTTACTAGTCTCTTTTCCAGAGCATATTTTCGGGCACTAGCCCCGTTCTAACTGCTAAAGACAGGTATATAATTAAGGGAAGGTTCCCTAATAATACCAGAGTAATTATATGTAAGAAACAAATTTTTAGCTGCTTTTTAACATGTCAAGAAAATAAAAAAATTGAGAACATCAGCGTTTTTATAAAAAACCGACAAGCGCGACCTCTAAGAAAACTTTTTTTTTCAAAATAAAAAAACACGTTTCCCTTTTTAACAGACTTCCAAAAAAGGAGGAGGTTATCAGTTCGTCGGAATCTTTTTTTTTTTTTTTATGTATGTTACCGCATAACTTTGGACCACGTCAACCGATTTCGATAATTCTCTTTGCATCGGAAAGGTAGTGTCTCAGAGGTGGTCCCATACTAATCTGATTAAGATCCGATCATGAGCGGATCATGAGATATATACATATATATATTTTTTTTATATGGGAGTTGAAGGCGGTTTTTTTTTGCTAAAAATTACTTGTTTTATCACAAATAACAATAATTTGAGGCAGCGTTTATGAATTTCCAAAAAAACACTTTTTTGAACCACTTTAGGGTGTATGTTTCCAGTAAAATTAAGAACGAAATTTTGTTTTTAAATTACAATGATGTTCGATATATTTAGTTATTTTGAAATATTAACACATTTTAACTTCACAATATATGTATAGTTTGGTGGAAAATACTTCTTTTGTTTTGTTTGATTTCGAAGATGTTTTCACTCTTCCTCTGAAAACCGGGACTTAATCGGTACAAGTATGAAAAATCGGGACATTTATACGTCACGACTTTTAAAAAATATTCCGCGGGACAATTTTCTCACAATCGGTACTGTCCCGTCAAAATCGGTACGAATGGTCGCCGTAATTATATGGGACTTTTATTTTTTTTCGTCTCGCGGGACGTTTATTTCAAGACGGAAATGATTTTTGTCTTCTTGCAATAATTATATGGGATTTTTATATTTTTTGTCTCTCGGGACGTTTATTTCAAGACGAAAATGAAGTTCGCCTTCGCATAATAATTATACGGGATTTTTATTTTTTTATTCGTCTCTCAGGACGTTTATTTCACGAATATGATTTACGTCTTCTCATAATAATTATATGGGACTTTTATTTTAATTTTCGTCTCTCGGGACATTTATTTCAAGACGGAAATGATTTTTTTCTTCTAATAACTATATGGGACTTTTATTGAAGTGAGACTTCTTAATTCAGTTCGGAGATTTGACGCGTTATATATTTAACGCCACGATTGTTCATGTAATCAAATCTGTATCGTTCTTTCGATTTTCCAAAATGGTGTGTCAAATTAAAAGGCTTTGCTTTTACGTGGTTTTAGTTTATTGAAATGGGTTGCCAGATGTTAGCAAACCAAATTGCAATAATCGAGCCCGGAGATATTTGCGTTTAATTTCGTGAAAATGGCAGTACATGTACCGATTTTGTCAAGAGAAAACGTGGGCCGTAAATCATTGTCGTCTTGAAAAAAACCGTTACGAGAGACGAGAAAAATAAAAGTCGGATATAATTATTATGAAAAGACGTAAATCATTTCAGTCTTAAAATAAACGACTCACGAGACGAAAAAAATAAAATTCCTACATAATTATTATGAGAAGACGTAAATCATTACCGTCTTGAAATAAACGTCCCGCAAGATGAAAAAAATTGAAGTCCCACATAATTATTATGAGAAGACATAAATAATATCCGTCTTGAAATAAACGTCCCAAGAGACAAGAAAAATAAAAATCCTATATAATTATTATGAAAAGACGTAAATGATT